TTTTTTTCTTCCACGGATTCGTGCCTATTACTGTTCTGAAAGTAATTTGCATTTACGCACGCACCAGGAAAATGTTTACTCCACTATTTTGGTCTCACCTGTTCCATCGATCAGTGCCCCTAATCAACTAATCATGAAACCTGTGTACTCTGATTTTGGCGTTTGTCAAACCGGAAGGTTTGAGGTTCGTATATTTTTCACAATGTGGTCTGAAGTTCAGTACCGTTTTTACAGCAGAAACCTGTTTGTTGAAAGACACCGTCTTCTGGGTACTTTACGAGTCACTGACTCTACGTGGGACGTTGTTGTGTGTGAAGTCAACAACTAATGTTAGGATCTTTAATTTCCATATTTCTTTTACTACACACCGGTGTGTGATGGACAGCAGTCAGGACAGACCCCATGGTCACGAAGACCTGCTGTTCAGTGGTGGTAACCGACAACCTAAGCCCCGGGGCTTAGATTGGTGAACCACATAAGGTCCCGCTAGCTCAGGTGTGGTATAGAACCGGGCGACAGCAAAGCTGCCTACCACCAAAGTTGGGTGGCTGTGGCGGGGCTCGAACCTCAGATCACAGGGTTCAAAGCACGCCAGTGACAGTGACTAAATCACTGCAACACCACCAATGAAGGAAGAATGACGGATTTTGATAACAGAAAATACAGTATGTGGTATGGAACTGCGTGCATATTTGTAAATCTTTTGTGAATTTCACATTGTGGATGATGGTAAGCAATTATGCAGAACTACTACTGTACCGTTGGAACAGTTGATGGGGGGATGGGAGAATTCAAAAAAGATGTGATGGAATATGGATACATGCCCTCGAGAACCGATACTACACAGAGGCAGTAACCTGAGTGTGCTCTGCCGGACAGGCAACAAGATGGTTGGTCTTCGGGTGTCCCCAATCTACGGAATGAGCTGGGTGAGTCTATTCTTACGGGAATCTACGTGTGCTAATTAGTGGAAATGAATAAGCTTTTGCGGTTTCATGAGTTTCTACACCCCAAGTGTGTTTAAAAACCATTTTCCTGATCCTACATCCGCTGATTTCAGTCCGGGAAGATCAATGGGGTCCGAGGTTTGAATTTTGTAACCACGACCACCACTCAGATTTTTTGTTAGGGCGTTTCGCTATGCCTCGGTGCAAATAATGCGTCTATCCTGTTGAGGCCGATGGGTTTGGTTCACCGATTCCATAGTAAGTGAACAACAGGGTAAGTGGGACGACGAACAGGAAGACTGGCACGTCCGCTTGGAGCATCCACCGGTTCTTGGCCCACTTTAGATACTTAGATCTTAGTTGCTTTCCCCAAAAACAGCACCCCACTGCACAGCGACTAAAAGCCGGTGAACCGATAGACTAAATCGAGCTGATTTTTAGGTCAAACGCTACAGCGAAACACTACACTGATGCCTTGCAGTCTGTCATTGTCTGCGCAAAGGCTAGACCTACCCACCCACCAACCCCCAATAGAAAGGTCTAATATTGGCGGGACGTCGTTTCGTATCGTGCTTAAGCAAGTCTGTTGTGAGGATCTAGGACGTGGAACGCCAAGGCATGTGTTCGATCTACGGAGTCCGGTTGAACAACTGTGATTTTATCAACATCTTTAGTAGGAAATGGTTGCGAAAAATTAATGTATAATTTAACAGTAGGTCCTCGTGACTATGAGGCTATACCCTAGTGCTGCTCATTGCACAATATTGTGTAAAGAACAGTTAAAAAACAACTGATCATCATTATTGGGCGGCTAAGTAAGACATCCGGGACGAGGATAAGGATAAGTTTGCGCAAACAATGAGCGTACGATTGCACAAAAGTGGGAGTTCGGAATTGTATTACGACCCCAGGTTCGTGATCAGATTCAATTAGTCAGTGGAACTGCCTTGAACAAACTTCCGCGACATCTCCGAAAATGTCCGTAAACGATTAGAAAAATTACTCACGTCGTCAAAGTCTTGTTTAATCAGGCGCCATAGACGCCGTGCCGCTTCCAAGTGTCGACCAGCCTGGCTGCGAAGAAGGAAATAGTTCCCGGCCAGAATACGACCGCAGACAACCGAATTGAAGCCATGGGAACGGGCTTGGGCGAACTGAGCTTCCGTGCTGTTGGGAATCGAATGGTTGGTTTCAGTAGGTGCTGAATTACCATAGCGAAGTCCATCATATCTGAAATACACGGAATATGATAACGTAAAAGGGTCGGTCAGAAGGCAATGGGATCGAGAAAAAAAACAACTCATTTATCCGGAACTTTGGTTCTAAAATGCAGTGAAGAGACGGTGGGCGGCGAGGTTGATAAAATTGTCCCAAAACGATTAATTTTTACAGAAATTTCAAAGCGATACAGGCGATCGCTTACATCATCCGGGAAACAAAGGAATGGAACAAGTGTATTAAGTAGTTGGCTGAAAAAGGGAGGCGATATTCACGTGTGTATGCGAGAATGATTTTCGGGTGTATGTGATTCGCCGAAATAGAGAGGGACAGTTTCTAACCACCTACGTGCTTTGCCCATTTAAATACAAAATCAAAAAAGGGGGTTTTACGTTAACATTCTTCACACACACAGTAGGTCGCTTATCACGAGATTTAGCCCCCCCCCCTTTGCAGTATTAGAGACGACTTCAGATGTGATAAAAAAAGTCAGTGGGCGAACCGATGTCTAACAGAATGTCAGTGTCACACTACTAGATATTCTACTTGATTCTTTTTTTTTATTACACACCTAGGTGTGATGAACAGCAGACGGGGTTAACTCCACAGTCACGAAGACCTGCTGTTCAGTGGTTGAAATCGGCAACCTAAGCCCCGGAACTTGGAGTGGCGAACCACATA